CGGCTGCGATCGCAGACCCTATGCTCTTCTTCTCCCCAAACCTCGCCCCCCCCCCCCCATTACCTTTGAGCCTTCTTCTACTGAAAGAGAATTGAGAGATGCAAACATCTTGCAGTACATTTCCTTCTGCTTCAGGTTGTAATCTCCATAACAGCTGTAATACATAGCAGTGTTGTCATTGATTTGGTCTCCGATTCTGGTTTAAAAAGCTCAGATATGTGAAACAATGGCCCCTTCCACACAGCTGAATAAAATCCCACATTTTCTGGATAAAATCCCACATTTTCTGCTTTGAACTGGAATATATGGCAGTGTGGACTCAGATAACCCAGTTCAAAGCAGATATTGTGGAATTTTCTGCCTTGATAGTTTGGTTATATGGCTGCGTGGAAGGGCCCAAAGACGAAATATACAAGAATGGGAGAGGAACTGTTCCAAGGCAGGTGACAGCACCACAATTAATACACATCTTGCCCCTTCCTGCCCCAGTTTAAAAACTCAGTGTGGTTTTTAATGTTGCATTAAAAACCATACTACTTTTAATGCAACATTCAGGAATAGGCACCACAACAATTACACAAGTCAAAAACATGACTTTAAGCTGTCAAAGCAACAAGACATGGAAAATACCACTTTAATTTTCTTTGTAACACATGAAGAGCAACAAAGAGAGCTGTGGAGAGATCTCCCTTCAACAACAACAACAATATTTATTTATAGGCCATCCTATCTCCCCAAAGGGACTTTAGTCACAGAATTCTGTATTACTTCCAAAAGCCTATTAGCACAGATTGTGTTGAATATGAAAAACACAACAGGTTGTGCCAAATGACAGCTAGAACCTCATCAGCATAGAATGGAGCTTATTTCCTCAAGCATATTACAGAGGCAGCTTTAAGGACTTCCCTCCCTCTTTTTTAAAAGGCCAAGAAAGATAGCACCATGTTTCTTTCTGGTATCAGGAAAGAAGGTACTCAAATAGATAAGAAAGGCAGACAGCAGTGTTTTACCAGTTCTATGCCTTCAAGCAAAAGCCTCAAGGCATATCCCCACAATCACACACGGAAAGATTGTCAAACTTTGGGAAAAATTAGGAAACAATGAGAAAGGCTGATTGAATGCCTTAAAAGAATATTAGAGTGTTGCTCCCTTAAGAAAAAAATCCACATTTTCCTTATCCTTGCACCTCTTATTAGTCAGCCCTCCACATTCATTGGGATAGGGGTACAGGGACGTCCAGAAAGTGAAAAACTGTGAAACTTTTTTTTATAAACTGAGAGAATCTCTTTGGGAAGTTCTAGCACAACTCCCACTGGAGATCTAGAGATTCCCAGAGAAGTGTTCTCTACAGACATAGAGCAGGCTTCCTTGGCTGTTCCCACAAACTATGCATTCTAACTCCCATATACTCATTGGCGTGCAATATCATTAATATGCTGCAAGAGTACATTTGCATTATATTTGCTCTATGATAGATGACATAAGCAATCCCCCCTCACTCCCTTTTTATGGTAGGATCTCTAAAAGGGTCCTGACAAGCAGGATGGACAATTTACCAATAATAATAATCATCATCATCATCATCATCATTATCATCATCATCATCTTCAATGGCCACAAAGAATAAGTGTCAACCAATGTACCATGAGAGTAAGTGTAGAGAGGATTCAAGCAAGCTAAAACATCCTTATGACTTCTCACCTGGCCAGCTTCTTCAACTCATTGTTAATATCACGGTTGAAGGGCTGCACCTTCTGAGCTTGGATCAGAAAATCCCGAGCCCTGTCATATTCTGCCAGAGAGCGGCATGCCTAGAAATTAAGAGATTAACAGCATGTCATTCAGCTAAAATTATGAAAACAGTTTGCTCACTTTTCTTGAAATGCAAAGTTTCATTGGTCATGTTTCTAAGTAATGATAAACCCAAATCTGTAGCAAATTCTGGCTTATTCTCACAAACAGTATGCACAATGGACAGTTCTTCCTTTTTGGCTACTCTTACACTTAAACTAGGAACTAGCGAGAAAGCAAAAGGTTAGAAGATCTTTCCAACCCAGAATTCCTAGTTTGTCGTTTTCAAACCAGAAACGGAGATCAGAACTTTGCTTCTGACTCTTGAATTGTGAAGGGAACAGCAATCCAAGGATCCTGGACAGCAAGCTTTTGTTCACTTCATAGTTTCTGCTTAGTTTAGCTATTATGACTAGTGGAAGTAATTGGGCAGAAGAAAGACTGCATGATGGCTTCAGACACAACTCATAAACATAAGCCAGAACTCCCTGCAATTCTGACCTTTTATGATATGCAAATACTGCTTTTAATTCATTCAACCTCACCTTTTCTCCAAGCGTAGCCTTGCCAATATAGACAACAGCTTATTTCTATAGATGCATCAGTATAGGAAAATTACCTTTCTGTGTTTTAGAGCTTGGCAATCTCTGATTACCATGTTTCATTGAATGGTCGCCCCTTTTAATCCTATTTTTTGTTGGAAAAAAGGGCCCACGACTATTATACAATGAAATAGAATTGGTGCCTTCTGTTTGCTAGGTTCTGAGTTCTCTCTCCCCCCCCCCCCCCCCCCCCCAATTTTTTTTGTCTCAACCCCAAGACAAGGGGAGAGGGAGAACTCAGTCTACTTTAACTGTCTTTAAGGGGGAAACAGAAAAGGGAGACTTTGGTTTTCATTTAAACTGTCTTTGAGGGGGAAAACGATTTCTCAATTTTATAGACACCTGCGACAATTATGTGAGGAAAGGGAAAAAAACCCTATTTTCGGATTCTCAAAATGGGGATGCGACTATTATATGATGAGATGTGGTGTTCAGTTTGGGCTATAACTTTGTCTTTTGCTCTTCCATTTGCTATGCTGTATGGGATTCTGGGAGTTGAAATCCAAAAAACATCTAGATGGTCCAGGTTCCCCAGGTTCCCTCCTAGATTTAAAACTGAGTGTGAGTCCTGAATTATGGTCATCTCACTGGGTCCATCAGTCTGTAGCAAACAAACAAACAAACAAACACAACAAAAACCCAAGCACTCACTATACACTGATGACAGGAGCATTAGAAAATGGCTCAAATACACAAGTATACCATATCATTACAATCTTAGCACAAGGATTCCAACATTCTTTGCAAACTTAAGGCCTATAAGCCATTATTTGTACTACCATTTGGCTAATCATATTCAAAACAAGGGTAATTTCCTTACCTGACCACACCTGAAGAGGGCTTTGACATTCTTCGTATCTAGCTTTAAAGCCATCTCTCCAAAGGTGAGGGCCCGGGCTGGACAATCCAGTTTTAAGTAAGTGACTGATAAATTCAGGAAGACCAGGAGCTTGGCATCATTCACTTTGCTTAGTTCGTCCTCCTCTGCACTCACATGTTTTAAAATTGAGTAGGCCTAAAAAGGAATGGGATCAGGGAGGATCTATGACTATTAACAAAATAATAGTATCTCAACAAAAAGAAAAAACCTCTGACATAGAGGCAGACATTGTTTTTATGTGAAAGCCAACTTTTTAATGGCATTCTTTATCTAGAATCCTGCAAAACCATCCACTTGAGAGGCTGAGTCAGCAACACAAACTTGGCTTAATGCAGAAAATGATGGGAAGAGGAGCCTGTGGGAAGTGTCCCCCCTCCCCATTGCCACCAAAGGGCTGGATAGAAAATGAATCTTTCAGCTTCCCTGTTCAAAAATGGATTTCTGTCCTCCCGAATTCAGGAGGCTCCCGAAAAATGGATCGGGACTCTCATCGAAATCCAGGACAATGAAACGGATCGCAGTTTACCCAGATTGCATAAGCCTAGTGGAAATCTAAGACCCCCAGATGGGAAAATGTTAATGTTGATGTGGGAAAGTAACAATATGCCCAATATACTCATGTATAAGTCTACACATGTTAGTTTTTTTTTAAAAAAAAATCAACCCAAAAAACTTGAATAAACGTATCCACAGGTCAATGTGAGTACTATATCTTCTTAAAAAGAGAGGAATCACCCCCTTTTCTGAATAGAGTGATACAACTTGAGAGCTGAGCTCATTCAAGAACTTTCTCCTTTCTGTGGAATGACCTTTGACTTATCCAGGGGTCATATCAGAATCCATAATTTTGCCCCCCCCCCAAAGCTGTCCTCAACTTATACACATGATCAACTTATACATGAGTATATACAGTAGTGAATTTTAACTGTCCAAATTCTCAGAAGTTATTCTCTCCACCCTCACTGTACACTGTTATTTCAAGGATACGATGAACCTCACATCTCTGAATGTGGGGAAGATAGCACAGCACTGACACAAAGTTCCCACTTCAACTGCCTTGAGCTATACTAGAAGATGGCACCTATGTAGTGGCCTTTACTTAGACCAGTCATTCCCATTCCTTGGTCCTCCGGGTGTTTTGGAATTCAGCTTTCAGAATTCCTGACCATTGGAAAAGGAATCTTTGGGTGTTGAATAAATGGGAATGGGAACCACTGACTTATTGGAAGACCAAATATTTTTCCTGAAGAATGTCCTATGCAAATCAGAGTCATCACCAGTAAAAAGAATTGGAAAAGGGATGATGCCAAAAGAGAAAATGGGGTCTGATTGCCTATGAGCCAGATATGTATGTACGTATACATTACATATGTATTACAATTTAAGTTAGCACACATAAAGTGTAAGAATGTATTTCCAAACCGCCTCTCTATATTCTGGAGGCTGTTCATTTCCAGATATATCTTTTGAATGTACCAACAGGACTAAAAAAGTAAAAATATGGATGAATACTAAGCGAAGAGTGTAATTTATCATGGGCTAGATTTTCATACTTGGTTTATAACTTATAACTTACTCTCCTCAACAAAGCACCTTTATGTTACCTGCTTGTATCTTTCCTTAGCATCTACAAAATGTCCCTGGCGGAAGAGGTAATTTCCCAATCCACGTGCTGTTTCTGCTATCTTTAGCACTTTCTCAAGTGGAAGACTGTCTTGTTGCTCCTGTGTAGAGAAGCAGCAATCCAGTTAGAAATTGGTTATAGATGTAGTCAATAAGTAGAAAAATCACAATGATTACACTGTTGTATGTCAGCCTCTTCAGCCTGTAATTGTGTCTAATGATCAGGTTGCTAAGGATGATGGGAATGACAACGTTGTTCATGTTCAAGTTGATTCCTCTGATGGGAATGGGGATGCTTTCCATGAAGATGTTCCTGAAGGGAATGGAGATGATGGTCTATTTCCTGGGCCTGGTTTTAGAGATGTGGGGGCTGAATGCAGTTCAAATGATGAGTTAGAGAAGCCTGTATTGCTGCAAGGGGATTCTCAAGGTCTTGAGCTTGAGAAAGGCTCTGTGCCGCAGTCCTCTGGTCAGTTAACTCCAGCTGCAGATTTTAATGAAGCCTTGAACAGAAGAAGTCAAAGACAAACAAACCAGCAATTACGGCACTCAGCCAGATTACAGCAAAAGTTAGAAGTGAAACCAAAGTTAAGGAAAAATCCGTTCTTAGCTGTTTGGGAAATAGGCAGGGATATAAGTGCCAAGTACAGAATCTAGCTTCAGATGAAGCAACGTTGGATTTATGTTAAGCTCTTCACGCCAAGTTCCTGGACCTTTGACATTGTTTGATTCCTGTTTTAAGTGCCTTTGCTGTTTGGATTTACTTTTTATTGTGGATTACTTTTTATTTCTTTTGTTTTTATTACTTTCAATAAACTGCTTAACTATGTGGTGTTTAAAGTCAGAGGAGAATTCTGCTCTGGAATGCAACATACACTATGTAACAAAATTTGAAAAAAAATCTGTTCCTGGTTTGAAAGTGTTATTATTCTTGTTTGTGGTTGCTACAAACTATGTTGAATTGGTTGAGACTCAATGAGATATTCATTGAAAAGCTATAGCAAACTGTGCTGCAGGATGTACTGCAAAAACAAAGTTTTTACAGTTTAATAAACTTTTTTCCATGTTTTTATGATAGAACTCATTAGGAAACAACATTTATTAGAACTAGAGCAGTCTCCTTGTATATGGAAAACTCCTATTATATAGCAGCATACTAGAATTGCAGACTGGGATTGGAAAAGTTAACTTTTTCAAACTACAAATTCCTGGCAGGGGGATTTGGAGTGCAAAAGAATAACTTTTCCAGGCAGAATCTGTTTCAGCTGGATCCATGTTTCTCAGGCCTTCTAAAATTGTTGCCGTTGCCCCACTACTTACTTCATTTTTGAGGAAACTTCCCCATCTTTGGGTTGTACTGTGAGCACACCGAGATCTTCTGTTCAACTACATGACTACATATGTTCATGCAACACGTAATGCCTGTGCATTGCAACATGTGCAAGAAATCCTTTGAATGCTCACCACAGATGAAACTGTACTGCATTCAGCAGAACCGAGTAAGCAACAATTGGACAGGGCTATAACATTTCAGAAACTATATCTCCCTTCTTTGGGAGTGGCTCCAGTCCATATTTAGAGGACCAGGGAGAAAGAGCAACAAACTTGCTTTGATCTTTGTGCTGTTTTTAAAAAGTGGAAGTTACACACCCTCCCGACTGCATTCCAACCAGAGCGCAGCAAAGGGGATCCTAGTGATGAGAGATGGGTCTATTTTTGTGCCGCAGACATAGCCACAAGTGGGTGGGGAATAAAAGGAGGCCTGGGACTTGGCCACACACTTCCACGATCCATATGACAGCTGCGCGTGAAGGATTCTCCCTCCTGCAGACTAGTGCCTTATCTTTCTTGGTTCCTTAATCCCCCAGCCCTAGAGAACTCCAAATTTCCTTTACAGAGATTCTTCTCCAGCTCTCGACTTTCACCCAAGGCTGATCCATTTCCATGGATCATCTGTAGAAAGGTGTGAGCTCCGTTGCAGCTGAGTGCATGAACCCAAAGGCTGGCCCGAAATCCTCCTAGTTTCCAATTCAGAAGCATAACTCCTCCATGGAGAGAGGAACCAAAGATAAGCAACACATGAAAGGCTGCTTAGCATTTGTCTTGGTCAAGAAGAGAGCCAGTGAAATGTGGTTTGTTTCACTATGCTGTCTGCTTCAGGAGCTCCTTTGCCCTTTTCTCTCTCTGCATTCTTTGGCTGGCACAGTGGGCTGGAAACCATAATTGCAACAGCAGTCCTTTTATTTTTGAAAGAACATAGAACATTTCTCAGATGTTGTATTACAGTCTTATAATGTGGGCTCTTAGAACAGCAGAAATGGACTATCTGGGTTGCTGTGAGTTTTTGTGGGCTGTATGGCCATGTTCCAGAGGCATTCTCTCCTGGCATTTCGCCCACATATAGAGGTTGTGAGATTTGTTGGAGACTAGGCAAATGACGTTTATATATCTGGAATGTCCAGGGTGGGAGAAAGAACTCTTATCTGCTTGAAGCCAGTATGAATGTTTCAACTGGCCACATTGATTAGCATTTAATGGCTTTGTAGCTTCAAAGCCTGGGTGGTTGCTGCATGGGAGTGTTGGGTAACACTCAAAAAACAAGGGAATTCCAGACAAGAATCAGGGCCAGCTAACACCTCCCAACAAAGGACACCCCAGGCAGCAACCAGCCAGGTTTTGAAGCTGCAAGGCCATTAAATGCTAATCAATGTGGCTAGTTGCAACATTCATACTTGCTTCAAGCAGATAAGAGTTATTTTTCCTTAAGTGATATTTGTCTTGACTGTTCTAATGTAGCACAAATCCTATGTAAAATCATACTACGTATTTTTGACATTAATATTGATAAGATATTGACAAGAGTTCTTTCTCCCACCCTGGACATCATTCCAGATATATAAACCTCACTTGCCTAGTTTCCAATAGACCTCACAACCTTTGAGTATGCCTGCCATAAATGTGGGTGAAACATCAGGAGAGAATGCCTCTGGAACATGGCCATACAGCCTGAAAAACTCACAGAAACTCCATGATTCCCGCCATGAAAGCCTTTGAAAACACAATGGACTATCTGTTGGAACCCAACCACATCCTGCACAAGCTTATAGTCCTCATTAAGGAAATAGATGAAATGTAGATCTTTCACTAAAGTCTTCTATAACTTTCAAAGCTTGACTCTGTTCCTGTTTGCTCTGGAGCTTCTGATCTGCTAAAACTGTTGCTACTGCTATTGTTGGTGATTTAATACTAAAAACACTTGGAAGGTCAAACATTCCTCATCTGTGAACAGAGAAGATTTCTACATAGGAACTCACAGGGGTCAGGTCGACATACTGGTCCCATTCTGAACAGTCCACAAAGTCCAAAAGCTCAATCTCAAACATCACTGTGGCATCGGGAGGGATTAGGGGAGGGCAGCCCAGTCTTCCATAAGCATAATCTGGCCTGAAGAGGAACCGGGCCACCTCCTCTTTCTTCATGGTCAGAAGCCCAAGCTCCATACCCCAGAGAGTAATGTCTGAGAAGGCAGAAGGGAAAAAGGTTGGTTTTTAACATTTATACATTGCACCAGAAATCCTAGAGCAAGCATGGGCAAACTTTGGACCTCCAGGTGTTTTGGACTTCAACTCCAAATGTGGGAGTTAAAGTCCAAAACACCCAGAGGGCCGAAGTTTGCCCATGCCTGTCCTAGAGGCTCTTGAACTGCCTGCATCAGGACATAGAAGACTCAGTGATGACAAATAATAATAATAATAATATACTTGCCTCTCCTTATTGCTCAAGGTGGGATACAACATAGATGTTAATATACATTTATAACAGCACATATTAAAACACAGACATGTTAAAATGTATGGAACAAAAATTAAAACATAACTTAGAATGTGATTGTGAAATTCATCATTAATCCTGACTGATACACCACATAAGATACAGCAGGATGATCAAAAAGGAACTTGTTATAGTTAAGATAGGCTGCACAATGCTTTACGGAGCAAACCAAATTTACTAAAATGTAGACAAGCTTTTGAGATATCTGGATCTTTTCATCAAGTAACACACTTCATAAAGCGAAAGGTGAAGGACACAAACATAAAATCAACATAAAAGGCCAATTTGATGTTGTAAAGGTAAAGGTTTCCCCTGACATTAAGTCTAGTTGTGTCCAACTCTGGGGGGTGGTGCTCATCACCATTTCTAAGCTGAAGAGCTCGCATTGTCCCTAGACACCTCCAAGGTCATGTGGCCAGCATGACTCCATGGAGCACCATTACCTTCCTGCAGAAGCAGTACCTACTGATCTACTCACATTTGCATGTTTTCAAACTGCTAAGTTAGCAGAAGCTGAGGCGAATGACAGGAGCTCACCCCACTCCCTGAATTTGAACCATGAATCTTTCGGTCAGCAAGTTCAGTAGCTCAGCAGCTTAACCCACTGGGCCAACAGGGGACCCCCTATTTGATGCTGAGGTCATGGCATTTGAATGACCAATCTTTAGGCAAAATAGGGGAAGTGGTTGCAGTTCTTGTCGTTGTCTGCCTTCAAGTCATTTCTGACTTATGACAAGCCTAAGGTAAATCGATCATGGGATTTTGGTCCCTTCTACACTGTCATATAATCCAGATTATATGAGTTCTCCCCCAGATACACATTAATCAGTTTATCTCATCTCAGGGTTTTATCAATTTTATCTTGTGCATTTGGTCTGTCCACTGTTTTTTTATTCTTCTACTATTTTATTTTTCGTTGTTTACTGTGTATTTGCTATTGTTTGTATTTTACTTTGTTATTAATATTTGCTGTTTTATTTTACTTTGCTATATTGTAATCTTTGGGCTTGGCCTCATGTTAGCGGCTTGAGTCCCTTTGGGGAGATGTTAGTGGGGTATAAATAAAGATTATTATTATTATTATTATTATTATTATTATTATTATTATCATCATCATCATCATCATCATCATCAAATTATCTGTTTTGAACTGGATTATATGAGTCTACAGTTCAAAGCAGACAGTCTGGATTCAGTTCAAAGCAGACAATCTGGATTTTATATGGCAGGGGAGAAGGGGCCTTTGTTTGCAAGTATTGTTCAGTGCATGTTTGCCTTTTCCTTCCTCTAAGGATGAGAGTGTGATTTGCCTAAAGTCATCTGCTGAGTTTGCATGGCTTAGCAGAGATTTGAACTTTGGTCTCTGGAGTCATAGTCCAACACTCAATGCTGGAAGAAGAGGTGTATGTAGATATTCAGATCAGGTTGCATTATGTCAATCAACATCAACTCAATTTCCTTTACCCTCTTCCTAATGACAACTTTCCTGATTGCAAAGTAGATCTCAAAAGATGTATTCGTCCCAATCTATTAAAGTCAACACAAGTACCTTGATTTTATTTTATTTTTTGCATTACAAAGAGAGTTTTGCAGCACAGAGGATCAGAGAAGTCTACCTGATTTAAGGAGCACCCATGCATATAAGAGGATGATTCAAATCACATTTGGACCTCCACCCTTTTTAGAGATCACACTGCCATTGTAGCCTTACCTTGGCCAAGTTTCATGAGTTTGGGATCCTTCCAAGAATAGTCGAAAGGTCTGTCCATGTGTTCTAAATAGCCTGAAAACTTAACTAGGAAAGTTCAAAGTTAGAGAGGAGAAAGGCAGTTGAAGATAGGAACACCAAACACATTTGTTATTATTACACCAGTAGGGAAGTGTTCTCTTTCCATAGCTTTGCTGTAAAGTAAAGGTAAAGGTTTCCCTTGACAGTAAGTCTAGCCATGACCAACTGAGGTGTGGTGCTCATCTCCATTTCTAAGCCAAAGAGATGGCGTTGTCCATAGACACCTCCAAGGTCATGTGGCCAGCATGACTGCATGGAGTGCTGTTACCTTCCCCCCGGAGCGGTACCTCTTGATCTATTCACATTTACATGTTTTTGAACTGCTAGGTTGACAGAAGCTGGGTCGAACCGCTAACCTTTTGATCAACAAGTTCAGCAGCTCAGCAGTTTAACCCGCTGTGCCACCAATGCAGACATATTAAAATATATGGAACAAAAATTAAAGGCAACATAGAATGTGATTTTAAAATTCATAATTAATACTGACTGATATACCACATAAGATATAGTAGGATGACAGAGAAAATATCCCTTTTATTTATTAAACAACATTTTTTTTTACAAAAATTCAAATTATGATAGAACTTTTTTTCAGATAAGTGCTTTCAGCTTCCAAATATAAAATCAAACACACAAGTTTTTGGAGCAATTCCACTTTACAGTTTAAAGGAGCAGGGGAATTTGAATGATAAAGCCCAGAAATAGGTTTGCTATTCTAATTTTGATTATCCCCTCCCACAGTTACGTCATTTCATTGCGAATCTGCTCCCCCCACCTTCATATTAACCATGTTCATGCACAAATGGTACAACTCTACAGTGAAGTCGCCTGTTGACTTATGGTGCTCCCATTAATTTCATAGTTTTTCTTAGACAATGTGGTTTTGTCAGTTCCTTCCTCCAGAAAATAAAGGCCACAGCACCAAGTAATATGCAGGGTTGATCTTGCTTAGCTTTCAAAATTAAATGGGATATTTATACAGTATTTGTAGGAAAGCTTGAATCTTTGCCTGCATAGCCTGCAAGTGGGTTTTGACCTTGGATGCCTTATCCTGCTCTGATAAAAGATATGTACTCCCCACCTCTTCCATGCAGCTCAATAAAATCTCATATTTTCTGCTTTGAACTGGAATAAATGGCAGTGTGGATTTAGATAATCCAGTTCAAAGCAGATTTTCTGCCTTGATATTCTGGGTTATATGGCTGTGTGAAAGGGCCCTGGGTAATAAAGGAGCAAGAAATGTATAGCATCAACAGATCAAAATAGGACTGGGATCCAAAGCATTCCCAGTCTCCAGCGAAAGTTCATTCCATTCCTGGGGTTGGTAAAATTAAAATTCCTCGCTCTACAAGCAAAGACTAGGGAAACAACTGCAAAACACAGGTGTGGAAGATTATTTCACTTCACTCTGCTTTCCCCAGAGATTGAATTCTGGATTCTGTTCCAATCTCAGGACACTAAATTTTTGCCATAATTTCCCTGCCCACACTGTGCCTGGCCTTGCGCTCAGTTGCTGGAGTAACAGGAGAAGAAGAAGGAGAAAATAATAATAATAATAATAATAATAATAATAATAATTTATTTTTATACCCTGCCTCCATCTCTCCAAAAGAGGAGAAGGAGGAGGAGGAGGAAGAGGAGAAAGAAGATGTTTATTTGTACCCTACCACCATCTCCCAGAAAGGACTCAGGGCAGCTTATAGCAGCATATGATATTGCCATAAAACACAGGTAAAATTACATAAACATATTAAACAATATCAATTAACAAAAAACAACACATTACAAAAAAAGACCAATCAGAATTTAAAATAATTAATAAAATACAGCAATAACTATTATTAAAATGAATAGTAATAATAATACAGTAGTTATGCAAATCTATGAATCTGGAACCTTTAGTATAGCCTAAGGAACTCCCAGTGGTGCAGTGGTTTAAACCCTTGTACCAGCAGGACTGAAAACCGACAGGTCGGAAGTTTGAATCTGGGGAGAGTGCGGATGAGCGCCCTTTGTCAGCCCCAGCTCCCCATGCAGGGACATGAGAGAAGCCTCCCACAAGGATGGTAAAACTTCAATCATCCAGGTGTCTCCTGGGCAACATGCATGCAGACAGCCAATTCTCTTACTAGAAGCAACTTGCAGTTTCTCAAGTCGCTCCTGACACACAAAAAAGTATAGCGTGGACTTCTTAACAGAATACCGTCTTACTTAGCACAGCTGCACCAGGAGGAACTCTTTCACCGGAGCCATCATGGAGAATCTCCTTCAACACTCCACCATCACCTGTGATGTCCGACATCCGTTGCGGATGAAACTTGAACAGAAGAAAGAAGAGTGTTATGAAGTATGTCACATTACTGAGAAGGTGTTTCTTCAACTGTCTCCTTACAATTGATGCATGTAACCAAACCAGATATCAGCTAGTTTTACTCTTCATGTCTTATAACCTTGACGGCAACAGTCAAAACTGCCAACGCTAAAAAAGATCTTTTGATAAACACTTCACTCCTCCAAGTATTTTATAAACAAGTACATTGCAGTTAGGCTGTTCTAAGGATAAGTGTCAGGGAAGAAGGAGGCCAATAAATACCCTCTGCATATGTTCAGATCCATCACACTTTTAGTTCTTCATTCCAAAATGTATCAGTCAAAATGAAGGAGAAGCATCTTGAAGATTATCACACCACAGGAACCTTCTCTGATCTATCCAGAATGGACTAGCTGGATCAAACAAGGCCTTGACTAGTTCAGTGTTTTATTCACGCAGTGGACAAGAAGCTCGCAATTACCCTATATACAGGCAGTCCTCAAGTTATGAACAAAATAGCTTCTGGAAGGAAGGGCCACCCACAAAAGAAACGATAGAGGAAATAAAGAAGGGGGTTAAGAAAATTAAGATGGAAATTATAAAGAATTAGAAAGGAAATTTATCTGGAAATGGTATAGGACACCAGCTCAACTAGCAAATATGGGAACAGGACTAAGCACAATGTGTTAGCATTGTAAAATAGAAAAAGGCTTGTAATAATAATAAATTTTATTTATACCCCACCACCATCTCCCCAACGGGTAACATGAGGCCAAGCCCAACAATTACAAGAAATCAAAAAAAATATATAAAGCAAATAATAACATCAAATGAAATATAAACAAAGCAAATTAATACAAAATCAAATAGAGGAAATGAAATAAAATAATAAAAATGTTCACAGTGGGCTGGGCCAAGTTAAAAGCATAGAATTAAAAAATAAAAACCCTGGGTGAGATGAATAGGGTAGTGTGCCTAGTGGGAACAGAAATGGGATGAATATCATTGAAGAATGAAATTCTCCTCGAATGAAAACATTCCTTGGGTGGTGAGCCATAGTGTTTGAGGATATGAGCAGCTTTTGGGCTATATGTTCATGGCAAGCACTATAACCTGTGATGTCAGTTGGGGGAACGTCTTTAGAGGCTTCTCAGCAGTTGGAACTAGAGTGTGTTTGTAGAGGTGGGAGGGTGTCTGTATAAGTGGCTTATTATGTGTATAGATAGCCAGAATGTGTGATTGATTTTATTGTGATTTTATTGTGTTATTCTGCATTGTCTATTTTATTTTATTGCATTATGTATTTTGTTGTGTTTAATTTTCTGTTGTTTTGTATTTTATTTCATTGTATTGTTTTGGGCTCGGCTTCATGTTAGCTGCCCCGAGTCCCCATTGGGGAGATGGTGGTGGGGTATAAATGAAGTTGTTGTTGATGATGATGATTTGAAACACAACAAGATGAGACCACAGCAGACACTCTGCTGGCTGTTGTATTGGATCACACGTCGGACACTTCCCAAGTGTCTAGGACTGTGTGATGTATCGGCGAAAAATGCGTGCAGATCCCAGTAAGGTGGCCTTTTGCAGCTGGCAGATGGTAATTTTGTCAGCGCTGATTGTGTTTAAGTGCAGGCCAAGGTCTTTAGGCACTGCACCCAGTGTGCCAATCATGACTGGGACCACCTTGACTGGCTTGTGCCAGAGTCTTTGCAGGTATTATTATTATTATTATTATTATATAGAATAGATTATATGTGTATAGATAGATGTATAGACAGATAGTTAGGTAGATAAAGATAGATTAATACAGTGGTTCTCAACCTTCTTAATGCCATGACCCCTTAATACACTTCCTTGTGTTATGGTGACCCCCCAACCATAACATTATTTGTGTTGCCACTTCATAACTGTCATTTTGCTGCTGTGGGGGGAATTGATTTTATCCTGTGGGAGTTGTAGTTGCTGGGATTTATAGTTCACCTACAATCAAAAGAGCATTCTGAACTCCACCAATGATGGAATTGAACCAAACTTGGCACACAGAACTCCCATGACCAACAGAAAATACTGGAAGGGTTTGGTGGGCATTGACCTTGAGTTTTGGAAGTTGTAGTTCACCTACATCCAGAGAGCACGTGGACTCAAACAATGATGGATCTGGACCAAACTCTACACAAATACTCAATATGTCCAAATGTGAACACTGGTGGAGTTTGGGGAAAATAGAATCTTGACATTTGGGAGTTGTAGTTGCTGGGATTTATAGTTCATCTACAATCACAGAGCATTCTGAACCCCACCAATGATAGAATTGGGCCAAACCTCCCACACAAACCCCCCATGTGGGCCACAGCAATGCGTGGCAGGGGACGGCTAGTATAGAATAGATTATATGTGTATAGATAGATGTATAGATAGATAGTTAGATAGATTAATAGATAGAAGATAGATAATGTATATTGATAGATAGATATCATCTATGATCCTACAGCATTGTAAACTGAAAACAAGAAATAAAGGAAGTATTAAACACTGAAACCCCTTTAGTGACTTTTGGCCCACCTTGTATAAAATCCTCCAAAATCCAGGATTGCTTTAAATATACATGCACACAAAAGCCATGATCAAGGGTCTGGAGAACAATCCCTATGAGGAGCGGCTTAAAGAGATGGGCATGTTTATCCTGCAGAAGAGAAGACTGAGAGGAGACATGATAGCCATGTGAGAGGTAAGTCACAGGGAGGAGAGAGCAAGCTTGTTTTCTGCTGACCCGGAGACTAGGAAGCAGAGCAATGCTTTCAAGCTACAGGAAAGGAGATTCCACTTGAACATTAAGGAAAAATTTCTGACTGAGAGCTGTTCAGCAGTGGAACTCTCTACCCTGAATTGTGGTGGAGGCTTTTAAACAGAGGCTGGATGGCCATCTGCTGGGGGTGCTTTGAACACGATTTTTCTGCTTCTTGGTAGAGGGTTGGACTGGATGGCTCACGAGGTCTCTTCCAACTCAATGATTCTATGGATAGTTGAATGACCCTTGGGCACAGAACACTCAAATGCAGCCCGCACTACAGGTGCATTCGTAGAGTCACTCTGCGCATGCCCAGAAGGGCACTGAGCTGGAGGACGGAGGATAAAAGGGTGTGGGGGACGAATTCTGTCTCTCCCTGGTTTACCGAGACCAGTGGGACTCGCTCTCCCCGCTGGGTCACCCCGTTGTTTCGCTCGGGAGCCACGCGGTCCCAGCTGCCTTGCCATCCCTCGCCATCGCCTTCACCGCCCTCCATGACTTGCCGCCGCGTTTCCCGCCAGATCTCTCCCGGGAGCATTACGCCCCGCCCCACAATGCCGGCTCTCTGCCAATGGGAGCCCGCGGACAACCGACGACCAATCGGAGCTCGCGGAATGTCTGCCTTCTACTTAGAGCACGCAGTACAGGGTCTCCATTCATAGGTAGAGACTGGAATGATTAGTCTACCTCAGGCATGGGCAAAGTTGGGCCCTCCAGGTGTTTTGGACTGCAACTCCCATCATTCCTAACAGCCTCAGGCCCCTTCCTTTCCCCCCTCAGCCGACTGAGGGGGGAAAGGAAGGGGCCTGAGGCTGTTAGGAATGATGGGAGTTGCATTCCAAAACACCTGGAGGGCCCAACTTTGCCCATGCCTGGTCTACTTTATATTATGGGGACTACAGTTTGACACCACTTTAAGGACCATGCCCCACTGAAATCAGGGAACTTGTAGTTTTGCAAGGCCTTTAGCCTTCTCTGCTGGAGTTCTGGTGCCTTCACTAAACTAAAAACTCCCAGGAGTCCATAGCATGAAGCCATGGCAGCTAAAGTGGTCTCAAACTGCATTAATGCTACAGTGTAGAAATACTGCTCAACTCCCAGTATTTTCCAGGCCATGGATTCTGGGAGTTGTGGTTTCATTAAACCAGTCCTCCAAGCTTTTACCACTTGGGCATCCAAAAATTTTGGATTTCAACTTCCACAATTCCTGAAAGTAGTAGTAGCAATAATAATAATAATGATAATAATAATAATAATATCCAATACAACAGCCAGCAGAGTGATATTGTCTGCTGTGGACTCATCTTGTGTTTCCAATAAAAATGATGATGATGATGATCGGCACACTGGGTGCAGTACCTAAAGACCTTGGCCTGCATTTAAACACAATCAGCGCTGACAAAATTACCATCTGCCAGCTGCAGAAGGCCACCTTACTGGGATCTGCACGCATTATTCGCTGATACATCACACAGTCCTAGACACTTGGGAAGTGTCCGACGTGTGATCCAATACAACAGCCGGCAGAGTGTCTGCTGTGGACTCATCTTGTGTTTCTAATAATAATAATAATAATAATAATAATAATAATAATAATAATAGACTCTGCAAGGAAGCAGATGAGACAATAGATCACATCCTTAGCTGCTGCAAGAAGATCGTGCAGAGTACAAGCAGAGGCATAACACAGTTGCTCAGATGATTAATTGGAACTTGTGCCACAAAAACCATTTGCCTGCAACAAAGAGCTGGTGGGATCACATGTAGCATTTCTTTTTCTCATGGCTCTTCTTGTTTTATAGATTTCCAATCCACCTTTCAGAAGAATTCATCTATATCATCATGACTACAATGCTGAACCCCAATGAATGAAACATACATTTTCAATAATTTGGAAGTAACAAGTGTATATAGTACTTTCAAAATCTCCAATGGAAACTGAAATGATAATATACATATGGGCCTTCTCAAAATGAGGGAACATATAGATGGAGCCAGAGTGAAAAATATGCCAGGAAAGTGCCCTACCTCTGATGTACTTCAAACTGACAGCTCACCTTAATGGATGCACAACTCATCACACTTCAATTTAAACCATTTTTCATAACTTACTATCCATTAAGAACGTTTGATTCCATTTCATAAACATCTTTAATCATAGAGGCACTGAAAATAAGCTTATAATAACATTAAGTCTCGTTTGTGACTGCAGTCATGGGAGACCTGTCTTCCCACCACATTACAAATGCATCCCACTTTATGATCAACAAATTAAAGGCACTTAAATTATCCCCACAAAGAAGAAATCACATCTGAAATTGGATTCATAAGCATAATTGTTGTATTACTATTACTTGAAGGAGTGTTTATGTGTCCTATTAAGTTTAGCTCTGGTTGAGTCTACACTGTGGAATTAATGCAGTTTGACATCACTTGAACTGCCCTGGCTCAATGCTACAGAATCTGGGATTTGTAGTTTATTGATTCTCCAGCACTATTTTGCAGAGAAGGCTAAATACACTGCAAAACTACATCTTCCATGATTCCATAGCATTGAGCTATGGCAGTTCAAGTGGTGTCAAACTGCATTAAATCTATAGTGTAGAGGTATCCTATATTTGTACTCTGATGCACAAAGTAACTTTTTTGTATGTAATAGACTCGCACCAACTGTCTAAACAAGGAGCCCCCGGTGATGCAATGGGTTAAACCCTTGTGCCGGCAGGACTGCTGGCCGAAAGGTTGAACGTAAACAACTTTGCTTAATCACACACATGTTCAATTTTTCATCTGTAAAATGGAGCCCCTGATGGCGCAATGGGTTAAACCCTTGTGCTGGCAGGACTGCTAACCAAAAGGTCAGAGGTTTGAATCCGGGGAGCAGGGTGAGCTCCCAACTGTCATCCCCAGCTTCCCATATGGGGACATGAGAGAAGCCTCCCACAGGATGGTAAAACATCTGGTATCCACTGGGCAACATCCTTGCAGACAGCCAATTCCATCACACCAGAAGCGACTTGCAGTTTCTCAAGTCACTCCTGACATGAAAAAAACCTATCCAAACAATTCTTTAAATCTAAAATAATAGTAGTAATAATAATACATTTTATTTCTTATTTGCCTCTTCTCATGGCTCAAGGTTTAAACTCATCATCATAAAAACATTCAGTTTTTTTCGGGTCAGGAGCAACTTGAGAAAATGCAAGTCGCTTCTGGTGTTAGAGAATTGGCCATTTGCAAGGACGTTGCCCAGGGGATGCCTGGATGTTTGGATGTTTTACCATCCTTGTGGGAGGCATCTCTCATATCCCTGTATGGGGAGCTGGAGCTTACAGAGAGAGCTCATCTGCACTCTCTGCTGATTTGAACCTCCAACCTGTCGGTCTTCAGTCCTGCTGGCACAAGGTTTTAACCCATCGCACCACCGGGGCCTCCAAAACATTCAGTAAAAAGCATATATTAAAAGACATTTCTGAAATATATATATATATTCAAAATCACTGAATGAATAATAAATTTGATTTCACATACTGTTACTACAGTTATGACAATCAAGCATTTGGTAAGTAAATTGAATATTATGTTTTGGATGGATCAAGTTACTTTTCAAGAATTCAGTTCCTAGAAACTCTCAAACAGATTCTGGGATATGCAAGAAAAGGAACTTTCCAAGCTCTTACTTAAATAAAACCTATCCTCTGAGGTTTTCCATCTCAGGAAAGCCTTACCATCTGAGATCTGTTAGATTTTATCGCCACAACAGTTTAATAAAGCCTGCAAGGCCCATTGGTTCTCATTGGTTTTGTGTTTTATTGGACTGATAATAGCTTTGCTGCAGCTGTTTATTGGATTTTTGCATGGCTCGGATGAGGATTTTATTATTATTATTGGCTTTTATTCATTATTCTCTGCTTTATTGTAGCACTGACTTCTATCCAAGAAGATACCCGGAGAAGGCTCCCACTGTTAAATGGAATCTAAAAATAGTTTAAAATTAATAGGCACGTATATGCACACCTGCATATATACATATATAAAAAAATTCATATCAAAGGCAAAAAGATCTACCACAATGTAATCCTATGGATGTTTATTAACAAGGAGTACGGCTTATCCCTTATGAACAAGCATGTTTAGGACTGAAACTCAGATCAGCATTAAATACATTAAATATGGCATAATTTATAATTATTTTATGATGTCATTACAGTACTGGAGGACCTAGAGATTCCTAGAGAAGTCTTTTCTCATATATATATATATATATATATATATATATATATATATATATATATATATGAGAAAAGACTTCTCTCTATATATATAGTGGATAGCCTACTGTACTTGCATTTGAGTGGCACATTTTGATGCTTATGATATGCTTTATGGCATCACAAATTGTCTCTGCTAACATTAGCAGACCCTGCCAAAAGATCAGTGATCCTGGGGAGTGGTGTGAGCTCCCATCTGTTACCTCCAGCTTTCCATGTGGGGACATGAGAGAAGCCTCCCACAGGATGGTAAAACATCCGGGCGTCCTCTGGGCAACGTCCTTGCAGATGGCCAATTCTCTCACACCAGAAGCAACTTGCAGTTTCTCAGTTTGCTCCTGACATAAAAAAACAAAACAAAACAACACACCCTGCCCTTGTGACATCATAATTTTTTCACATTTTAGCTCTGAAATCTGAAGCCTAGGGATGACCCCAATATGTGAACCAAATAGAAATCCAGCACAAGTCTACCATGAATCCTAAGGTGCACCTACACTGTAGAATTAATGCAGTTTGGCATCACTTTAACTGCCACGACGCAATGCTATGGGTGCTGTAGATCTACACAGTGTTTAGCTTTCCTTGCCAATGAATGCTAGTGTCTCACCAAACTACAAATTCCAGGATTCCATAGTAGTTAAAGTTGTGTCCAACTGCATTAATTCTACAGTGTAGATGCACCTCTAGGCCTCACCACTTGACCAACAGAGCTGCTATCTGCAATGGGGTGGGCATTGTAACAAAAATTGAGCCAGAAATTGGATTTAGGCCCAGGTATTAGCAATAAGCTTTCATCTATGTACTCACACCAAGTATTATGTTACAAACCTTCAAGCCTAGTTTTCAGGAGAGTGAGAACCTTTAACAAGATGATAGCTGAAATCACAGTAGGTTGAATTGAATGGAATTTGGAGTGATCACTTATTTCATTTTAGATGCCCAGGTAAACTGTTTTAAAACAGTTTATTCCTTAAGATAGTTTCCCCCTCCCAAAAGTGGTAACAACAACTTGTATGATTCTATGAATCTATTGTACAGATCTGCCCAAACTGTAAGAAAGCATTTTACGTGCACTATTCCTTGTGGCCAGCAGAGGGCATAGATACACCGTCTGCAAATATAGGTAATTAAAGGGGACTTCAGGGGGATCTGGGATGGACATATTGGCCACACAGACTGTTTAGGAAATATGCTGTAATTAAAATACTCTTTTAAAAAAACATTAAACAAATAAGTTAAAATATTCAAATACTGTATTACATTT